TGAAGTGGCTATAAAAGGAGCAGACGCACCTTGGGGTTGGGGAGAGACTGAGAAAGATGGGTTCAATAATGTATACTGCATTGAAACAAGATGAGAGAGAAAATTGTTTAAAAGGGATATGTGATCAGGTATTTTTGTCATGACAGGAGTCTAGAGCAAAGGCTACATGGTGGAGTGGATCTGGGGGGAGGGATTGTAAAACAATGAAAGAATTTGTTTTACTTTTCCAAGAGGGTAGTGTACTGGGAGGGGAGGATTGGGAGGGGAGGATTGGGAGGGGAGAAAAGTGCAACAATGAATGAATGGAAATCCAAAGTCTCTATGCCACCAGGGCTACTTTTTTTTTTTTTAGATGTCTCTCTCTCTCATTGACTTTGAACTGGAACTGGCTCATAATTGACCCTCCCTCTGGTTTTCAGAGATTGTAAATGACAAAAAAATTGTGCTGGGTAAAAAAGAGATATGGATTCATTTACTGAATGATAAATGAACCAATCAATTCGGTCAGAAAGTTGAATATTTCGTGATATATCCACTTCTTTAAAGCAATTTAGCATCATGCAGTGGAAATAACACATTGAGTGTAGTTTTCACTTTCCTACCTATGATCAATGACTAGGGATGATAGGAGAATTGATGCCTTTGAGCTGTGGTGTTGGAGAAGAGTATTGAATGGACTGCTAGGAGAACAAATAGGTTCATCCTGGAGAGGGTGAAGCCTGGCTGCTCTTTGGAGGCAAGGATCTGAAGCTTCGTCTGACATACTTTGGACATGTTGCAAGGAGGGATCAGTCCTTGGAGCGGGACATCATGCTTGGGAGGGTGGAGAGGAAGACCCGTAAAATGGATTGACTTAGTGATTGGGGTAATGGGGTAGGTGTGCCAGAAACAATAAGATTGGCACAGAATAGAGCAGGGTTTAGGACAGTTGTACATAGGGTCACTATGAGTTGCAGGCAACTAGATAGCACATAACAACAACAATAACAACAACCAACGATCTTGGCATCATTGCAAAAAGATATACACAAATCTGAGCAATGGATTAGGTCTTCATCCTAAATAGCACAATAAAAAGAAAACATTATCATTTTGTGACAGTTGTTTTATTCCTAAAGCATAAAACTGATTTTTTCCCTTGGTTATGTATAATTTCTAATGATAGCAGATAATAATTATTGTCAAATAAGATAGCAATGGGAATAATGAAGTAATAAATGCTGTCCATTTTATAGACTTATTGCCCCTAAGTAGCAATTACTGTCATCACGATATAGCAGAATGTCAAAATAGGATTCTTTCTGCTCAGCTTCTGTCCTGACCCAATAGGTGCCAATTTTTACCTTATTTCATAGTTTAAATCAGGATTTGAAAAGGGAATAGACAAGGATCAGGTTTTAGAACCATTGGTAATCTTTTCTGGTTTATCAAATGGGCCAGAGACTAAAAAAGTGCAGCTGGAGATTTGATGAGTTTGGGACAACAGTATCATTTGTGTACAGATTACCACCATGGGGAAGGATATTATTTTCTCTCCTCAAACCTGGAAAAAGTAGCTCTAACTCTTCAACTTGGAGATAATGGTAAATTGATATTAGGCCCAAGCCTGAAAAATCTGTATAAGAGGAAATGGCTAGCTAGCTTTTATGGTGCCAGAACAAGAGAAAATGTTCCACAGGGATGGGCTTGACTCTTCCCATTCATGCAAAAAAGCATGAATGGCTTTCCATGAACCGATATGGAATAAGGAGTTCTAGCACAGAAATCATGGTGGTGTAGTCTGTAGAGTGCTGTGCTGCTATTCCAAAGGCTACTCCTCTCTGGCAATTCAAATCCACCAATGAGTCTACAGGAAAAAAAATGAGCAGTCTCCAGTTTTGCTATTAGCAAGCAGGCTCTAGAAACCACTGGCGGATCAGCTGTGAATTGGTACTGACTCAAAAGCAATGCATAAGTGAATGAATGACTGCAGGATTGTTTCAGAATATGTCCAAAAGACCTCCTTGCAGATTGAGGAGACTTCAGGGAAAAAGATACTGTATGTGTTCCCTTGGATGTCAGGGGGAAGCAATTACCTGCATCAAGAACTGCCAAGAGGGATTCCTAGTGTTTATGGGGTTCTCCAAAGGCTCCCCAAAGCTCTCCACAAGAGTTATTGTTCCTGTTGTTAAGTGCCATTGAGTTGAGTACAACTCATAGTGACCCTATGAACAATAGCTCTGAACCCTGTCCTATACTGTGCCGTCTTCATTATCTCTGATACACTTGAGCCCATTGCTTCAGTTACTGTGTCAATCCATCTCATTAAGGATCTTCCTCTCTTTCACTGACCCTCCACCTTTCCACTGATCCTTCCATCTTTCAAAGCATGATGTCCCTTTCTAAACATGATGTGCCTCTCTTAGCAACATGCCCATAGTATGTGAGATGAAACTTTGCCATCCTTACCTCCAAGGAGCACCCTATTTCATGTTCTCCAAGACATGTCTATTTGTTCTTTTGGCATGCCATTGGATATTTAGCACCCTTTTCCAACACCACAAGTCAAAAGCACAAGAGAGAAAGAGCCTCAAAATCCTGCACCAATGCTCGATTGCTAGACCCCAAGAGATTCCCTGGACCATGAGGTGAGGTTTGGTTTTAGTCATTTAACCTCAGGTTAACTTCTTCACCTAAATTTCTCCCTTAGAAAATGGAGGCTACTGCTAGGTGGATGAAAGATTGATCAACAGTCTGTGTTATGCAGATGATACAACTCTGCTTGCTGAAACAGGGGAGGATCTGAAGTGCTTGCTGCAGAAGGTCAAGGACGGCAGCCTTCAATATGGATTGAAGCTCAACATCAAGAAAACAAAATTTCTCACCACTGGGCCTGTTGGCAGCATCATTATGGATGGTGAAGAGATTGAAATTATTAACAGCTTTAGTTTACTTGGCTCTACAAACAACACTCTTGGTACCAGCAGCCAGGAAATCAAGAGATAAATTGCATTGGGAAAGTCAGCTGTCAGAGACCTCTCCAAAATACTGAAGAGCAACGGTGTCAGTCTGGTGACTATGGTGCACCTGATCCAGGCCATGGTCTTTGCAATTACTTGGTATGCATCAGAAAGCTGGACAATGACTAGGGATGATAGAAGGAGAATTGATGCATTTGAGCTGGGGTGCTGGAGAAGAAAGAGTATTGACTATTCCATGGATTACTAGGAGAACATACAAGTTCATCCTGGAGAGTGTGAAGCCAGATTGCTCCTTGGAGGCAAGGATTCTGAAGCTCTGTCGAACATACTTTGGGCATATTGCAAGGAGTGACCAGTCCTTGGACAAGGCAATTATGCTTGGGAGGGTAGAGGGACAGTGCAGGAGAGGAAGACCCTCGATGAGATGGGTTTATTCAGTGACTGGGGTAATGAGAATGGTTGTGTCAGAGCCAATAAGATTGGCACAGGATAGAGCAGGGTTTACGGTGGTTTTACATAGGGTCACTATGAGTTGCAGGTGACTTGATGGTACATAACAACAACAACAACAACAATAATGAATAGTGATTCTTTTTCTTAGATTCTTCAAGAGTGTAAAAATCTACTGTATTTTCATCCATGAGAAAGAGAAGAATATATGTCCCAGAATGGACTTGAAGAGTAGTGTTGTTGTTTTGTGCTGTTGAGCCAAAAACTGAACCATATCTGACACTCCAGAAAGTTTTCAGAGGCTGCAAATCACATAGAAGGAGATTGCCCATATTTCTCCTGTGAATTCTAACTGCCTGCCTTTGGCTTGACAATGCAACTCATTGCCACTGGACCACCAGAGTTGTTGTGTGCCATGGATGCAGTGAATCACATGGGAGGAGATTGCCCATCCTTCTCCTATACAGCAGCTGGTAGATTAATTACATACTTTTGTAATTACAGCACAACTTTTTACCACTAGGCTAGCAGATCCTATGAGGGTAGTTGCTTTCTGCCATATACAGGATTGTTATCTTTCTAAATTAACCCAACAGCACATAATCACAACAGGAGGCCCTGGAGTGGTGAAAATCATTAAGGCCTGGACTACTAGCTAAAATGTTAGTGGTTGAAACCCACCCAGAGGCACCTCTGAAGAGAGTCCTGGCTATCTGCCTTCGTAGTTTTGACTACCCCGTGGAATGGTTCTTCTCTGCACACACAGAATCTAACAACCAACAATGACAACAGGAGCAAAAGAATGAAAATATTTCCAATTGTACTCCACCATTTCTAATGCTCATTCAAATGATTTCAGTAATTGCTGAACCATATCAAATGCTTTTTTAAAAGGTCAGATGCTATGCATTTTACATGCATGAAATAATTTCATCCAACTAGCAATAACCCCATAATAGTCTTCATCTTCTAAGGAAGAAATTTAGGTGGAGAGAGAAGTTAAGAAAGCCCCATAATAGCCTTCCATTCATTTTCTAAGGGAGAAATTTAGGTGGAGAGAGAAGTTAACCTGAGGTTAAATGACTAAAACCAAGCAAAACCAAACCTCACTTCATGGCCATGTATTTTGGCACATAGGGCCTTACATGATAGTAAATTGGTTTTCCATGATGGTAACTCTTTATTAGAAGATACTGTTCATCTTTCCCTCACAGAATAGTTGGCCAATTTGAGCCACTGACCTTTTGCTTAGCAGTACAACATATCATACACAAGGCCACCAGAGTGCCAAAGTCATTGTTAGGGCTATTTCAAGCAAGTAAGAGTTTAATGTCTTGATTCAAAATCTTTTCTTTTGACATTCAAAATATTGTATCTGAGAATGGAAAACACAGCCACATCTATTTCAGTGCTTTGTCACTTTGCAGAGAGACTTGCGGCCTCATGAGATTTCCTCTACTGTGTTTAAAGAAAAACGCAGTGAACAAGAACCAGCTGTTTTACCTGAGTTGGAGTATTTTGCTTTGGTTTTCTTTCCCCCCATTAAACACATGTTCTTCCTTTCTTCCACCCCACCCCCCCATAGATGTGGACAACCACTACAAAATAAAGTACAGCTGAAGGGGCGTGACCTTCTCACACTAAAGAATTTTACAGGAGAAGAAATTAAGTACATGCTCTGGCTGTCAGCAGATCTGAAATTTAGGATAAAACAGAAAGGAGAGGTATGTAGCAATTTCCTCTTGCCTTCCATTTTCACCAGGCAGCTTTTCAAAGACAGCTTTCCTAAAAGAAAGAGACAAAAGAAAACCCCTTATGATTCCCAAACAGTAGCAGAGTAATGAAACCACACAGTCAGTGTAATTGATTATCACTGAATGTATAGGCATATAAAAATGCATAAGAATCAATTATTCGATGACAAGTCACTATACTTCTTTCTTGTGGAATGCTGAAACTCATTATTAATTGCATCAGAACCTAAGGGTTCTTTTCTCTGGAATTATTTTTTATTTGCATACTTCCTTTATTTTCATGTGTGTTTTCTATCAAGTTCAAAAGAAGCATGATACTTATTTTTTTCCTAGTGACAAATTTAGATCTTGAATGTACATTGAAGATTTTTGATCATTAAGATAAAGTAAAAAAAAATCATGATGTGACTTAACTGTTTAAAAATTAGATAAGCAAGTAAACAATTTAAATAGTAGAAGAGATGGAACATGATGTTTAGCTATAAGCATTAGCATTTTGAGCAATGTCTATTTAAAACACATTTTATTAATGCATTGGTTTCATATAAGTTGCTTAACTGTGAAAGCATTTTCATATTTCAAGTTTGCTCAAATACTTTTTATTAGAGTTGGCTTCAGGTTGGCAAAGGTTTTCATGATCATGGTTTACTTATTTAGCTATCTAGCTCCCTAAATCCCTAGGAACAAATTGAAAACATGATTAACCCAAGTTTCTATGGGGGTTGTGGTTGCTGTTATATGCCCTGCTCTATCTTGAGTCAATTTCACTGTCTCCCAGTCACTGAGTCAATCCATCTCATCTAGGATCATTCGCTCTTGTGCTGTCCCACCCTTCTAAGTATGATGTTCCTCACCAAGGACTGGTCCTTCCTAGCATTATACCCAAAGTGTGTCAGACAGAGCTTCAGAATCCTTGCCTCCAGGAAGCAGCCTGGTTTCACCCTCTCCAGGACAAACCTGTTTGTTCTTCTGGCAGTCCATGGTCAATACTCTTCTCCAGCACCACAACTCAAAGTCATCGGTTCTTCTTTTATAATTCCTAGTCATTGTCTAGCTCTCTGATGCATAGCACGTAATTTTGAAGACCATGGCCTGGATCAGGTACATCTTAGTCTCTAGATTGATATCATTGTTCTTCAGTATTCTAGAGTGGACCCTGATAGCAGATTTTCCCAGTGCAATTCATCTTTTGATTTCCTGGCTGCTGGTACCAAGAGTTTTGATTATGGACCCGAGCAAGCTGAAGTTATTAACAATCTCAATCTCTTTTCCATCTGTCATGATGCTTCCAATGGGCCCAGTGGTGAGAATTTTTGTTTTCTTGATGTTGAGCTTCAATTCATATTGAAGGCTATAGTCCTTGACCTTCTGCAGCAAACACATCAGGTGCTCCTCAGTTTCAGCAAGCAAGGTTGTGTTATCTGCCTAATGCAGGTTGTTGATGAGTTTTACTTCAATCCTGATGCCACATTCTTCCTCATAAAATCCAGGCTTCTGAATTATCTGTTCTGCATATAGACTGAAAAGGTATGGAGATAGGATACATCCCTAACACAGTGCTTCTTGATTTTGAATCATGCAGTGTTTCCTTGCTCTGTTCTGATTTACTGCCTCCTGGTCCAGGTATAGATTTTTCATGAGCACAATCAAGTATTTGGAGATTCCCATTCTTCTCAAGGTTAGCCGCAGTTTGTTGTGATCCACACAGTCAAATGCCTTTTCATAGTCAATGAAACATATATAGACATCCATCCAATACTCTTTGCTTTCTGCAAGATCCATCTGTCATTGGCTTTAATGTCCCTAGTGTCATGTCCTCTTCTAAACCCAGCCTGCACACTTGGAAGTTCTCTGTTGTTATAGTTTTTGGATCATCTTCAGCAGATCTTGGATGCATGTGGTATTAATGATATTGTTCAATAATTTCCACACTCTGTCCGGTCACTTTTTTTTGGAATGGGAATAAATGTGGATCACTTATAGTCAGTTGGCCAGGTAGTTGTCCTCCTGGTGAGCACGTCCAGGGCAGCATCAGTCTGTTGAAATATGTCAATAGGTATGCTGTCAATTCCCAGGGCTTTGTTTTTTGCCAGTTCCTTCAGAGCAGCTTGGACTTCTGCTTTCATCATCATTGCCTCTTGATCATATATTGTTTCATGGAATTCTGTGTCAGCCAATTCTTTTTGGTATAGTCACTCTGTGCATTCCTTCCATCTTCTTTTGATGCTTCCTGAATCATTCAACATTCTGCCCACAACATCCTTATGTATTGCAACTCGAAGCTTGAATTTATTCTTCAGTTCCTTCAGGTTAAGAAATACTGATCCAGTTCATCCCTTTTGATTTTCCAACTCCATCTCTTTGCACATTTAATTATGATACTTTGCTTTGTCTTCCCCTGCTGCCTTTTGAAATCTTCTATGCAGTTCCTTAATATCTTGATTTCTTCCCTTTGCTTTGGCTTCCCAGTGCTCTAGTGCAATATTCAGTTTCTTCTGACATCCATTTTGGTCTTCTTCATCTTTGTAATGACCTTTTAGCATTCCTCATGAATGATATTCTTGATATTCTCATTCGTTAGTGTTCAAGGCCTCAAACCTATTCCTGAGATGGTCTTGAAATTCAGGCAGTATAGACTCAAGATCAAATTTTGGTTCTTGTAGATTTGATTTTATTTTCTTTAGCTTCAGTTGAATTTGCATGCATGCAGTTGATGATCTGCTCCACAATGCTGGCCTGGTTTTCACAGTGATAGTGTGTAAAAACCTGAAAAGGTGAAAAAATGGTTACATGAGATCCCAAGCGTTTGTTCTTCAAGACTTTTCCAAACTACTGGGAAGTCTATCTACATAGAATAGGAAAGAGGAAGAACCCCACCCTGCTCCATACTCTAAATAATTTCTAGCCAGAAACAAAGCCTTAGGACTCCCTGGAGAATGAAGGATGATTATGTAGGGGCCTAGTTATTGTCCTGAGCAGGTGTCTTAGTGCCCCATGGTGTAACAAAGTAGCACATTTATAGATAAGAAACCATCTCCACATTGAGCATGTTCAAAACGGGATAGAGATTTTAATGAAACTGAGGTGATTGAGAATGACTGAAATAATGGACTTGAGCATAGTGGGGATCGTGAAGATGACCCAGAACAGTGTTTTGATATGTTGTTCACAGAGTGGCTGTGAGTTGCAGTTGACTCAACAGCACCTTTCAATAAAAGATAGTTGATCGTAGTGTGAATTACTTTGGGGAAAAGTATACCCAGGTTGAACCCAGAGCAATTAAAACTATTTTCTAACTGCAACTCCATAAGTCATGGAAATCCCTTCTTCCACTCTTCTAGATCATTAGGAAAGATTTGACTTTACTTTTTTTAAAAAAGCAATACCCCAAACTTTATGATATAGATGAAAGTTTCTTTTTTAAAAAAAAAACACTAGTTTTCAGTCAATCATTTATATACATTTTGTTTTATATCATTAATTACAATTGGTTAATGCAATTAATTATAATGCCCAACCTATCTCTTTAATAATTTTTGCTTCCTTCTCCCTAGCTTCTCATCTCTGTTAAACCGCCAAGATTGAAAACCCTTCCTTAGCCTTGCTTTAGTGAATCAGTCATGAATATTTTATTCCACATCCAATTCAACAATTTATATGTGTTTTGGTACATGCATATGATATTAGTAACAATCCCCTCAATGTAACTACACTCTTCCCACTTCCTCCCTGGGTTTCCCCATTTCCATTTGACCTTCTTCCTGGCCCCTTTCTACCTCTGAGCTTTGTTTTTTAGCAAATGCTGGCATTTGGTATCATATGGTTGATTGTACTGAGTGGTATATTTCTCCTTGTGTTTTTAGTTAACTTTACAGGCCTATTTGCTGTTTGGCTGAAAGTTGAAAAGCTGGAAGTGGTGCGATCAATTCCAGGCTTGAAATGTGTCAAAGGGCCACATTTCATTCACTTTTAAAATAAGTTTGTAAAAACTCTGTGTGTGTGTGTGTGTGTGTGTGTGAGAGAGAGAGAGAGAGAGAGAGAGAAGCAGTGATTGATGTGATTATTTTGGGAGATGGGTATAACCTCTTTTGTGATTTACAACCTTGGAAATCCAATGGAGGGTCACTATGAGTCAGAACGAACTCCATGACAGTGATTGAGTGAATAATGTAAAGAATAAAATTGAAACATAACCCTTGATATTGGATAATACATATATGTGTGTGTATATATATATTTATTATAGTAGAGTGTGCATAACATAAAAGTTACCATAGGGCATTTAGGAGGTTCACAGTGTTGTTCAACCATTGCCATCACCTCTTCCCAAAACCTTTCCTTCACTCCAAATAGCTACTCAGTACCCGGTAAAAAATAACTCTCCATTCTAGATATCCCATATAAGTGGATTTATATAGTAGTTGTCCGTGTGTCTCTGACTTATTTTACTCAACAAGTTGTTTTCAAAGTCCATCCATGTTGTTGTTGTTGAGGACCATTCAGTCAGAACCACCTCATAAATCACCCTCCAGATGGTTTTCGCAGGTAGTAATTTGCATGGGAGAAGATTGCCTATCTTTCTCCCCTGGTGGATTCAGTCAGCATACCTTGGTTTGTCAGTGCAATTCCTTACCACTAAGCTACCACGGCACTTTTGTACTTTATGTCCATGTTGTATTATGTATCAAAACTCCACTTCTTTTTGTACCTGGATCCCAGTCTATTAACATATTTTTTTCTTTCTTTTTATTCTTGATTTTCAGTATTTGCCTTTACTGCAAGGAAAGTCTTTAGGCATGATTTTTGAAAAAAGAAGTACTCGAACAAGGTTGTCCACTGAAACAGGTAAGTATGCTGATAAGCTCACACCTGTGTTGAAGAGGTGACAAGGAGGGTGAGAATCTGGGGGAAGTAACCTAGGAGGGGAACTGTTTTGTTTCTTTCATAATCATAAGGGTGGTGCTAACCCAAAAGTGGTCTCTCTCTCTCTGCTGGTTTCAATCTACCAGCGGTTCTGCAGGAGAAAGATGGGCAGTCTACTCTTTTTTACAATTTACGATCTCTCAATAACTCCCTGGAGGCTTACTTATGAGTTGGTTCTACCTGGACAGTAGTGAAGGTTTTTCCCATTTCGCCCTGGTGCCACAGTGCATAAGGCTGATAATCTAAGGTATGCTGTTTAAATCAGAAAAATGGACCATCAATCTTTGGAAAGATTTCAGCCTCAGAAACCTGATAGTGGGTTGCTCTGAGACAGAACCAACTCAACATCAGTGAATTTGATTTGGTGGGTTTAATAGCCCTGGTAATGTAGTGGTCTCAGTGTTAGGTTAATGATTCAATCACATCAGTTGCTCTGCCAGAAAAAGATGAGGCCATTTGTTCCTGTTAAGAATTACAGCCTTGAGACTGATGGAACCCTGGAGACTATGTATGTATGGCCCTTAGTTGTTGTTAGGTGCCGTCGAGTTGCCTGTGACTCATAGCCACCCTACGTATAATAACTCTGAAATCTGCCCTGTCCTGAGCCAGTCACACTGACTCTAACATACCTATCCCCATTGCTGCAATTACTATGCCAATCCATCTCATCTGGGGTCTTCTTCTCCTGTGCTGTCCCTCCACCCTTCCAAGCATGATGTCCTTCTCCAAGGATCTGTCCCTTCTGGCCACATGCCCAAAGTATGTGAGACGGAGTTTCAAAAATCCTAGCCCTCAAGGAGAAACTTGGTTTCACCCTCTCCCAGTATCAACCTATTCTCTTGGCAGTCCATGGTATGTTCAGTATGCTTCTCCAGCACCACAACTCAAAGGCATTGATTCTTCTTCTGTCATCCTTAGTCATTGTCCAGCTCTCAGATGCATAGCAAATAATTTCAAAGAGCACGATCAGAAACAGGTGCATCTTAGTCTCTAGACAGACATCATTACTCTTTAGCATTTTGGAGAGATCCTTGACAGCAGGAGACTGTCAAATCAGACCCAATTCATAGCTGACCCTCCAGTGAGTTTTCAGAGGCTATAAATCATTCAGGAGGATTTTATCCTTCTTCCTCCTGAGGAGCAGCTGATAGATTCCAACTGCCCATCTTTGAATTGGCAACACAACTGTCTATCCACTGGGCCACCTGAGGTCCCTGAACTTGTTTATAAGTTCCAAAAAGCAATCTGTGTTTGATGCAAAATGTTAAGTGAGCACAAATTGTCAGTCCTGACATCTATTTATTAAAAAGTGTGTATTTTTCTAACATGTAGCCATCATGTGTGTGTGTGTGTGTGTGTGTGTGTGTGTGTGTGTGTGAGTGAGTGGGTTGGGCATCCTGCTGAGCCATCTCTTTAAATTTTATCATCCTTTAGTCAATATTGAGTTTCCTTTCCCTTTCTCCACAGTCATGGCATGGCTTAATTGTGAAGAGTATGTGAATATGAGGATATCTAGGATTCCTTAGTCATCAGGACTCCTTAGGTGGGGAGCCTTAGTCCTCAGGACCTCATCTTAAATGTCTGTGCTGAGACTTTTGTATTCTCACTGAATCTTGTCTGTCTCCAACTTGGTGCAGAGTTTGCTTCACTCTAGTCAAGAAATAACAAGAAATTATACTGCTTTTGATTTTCTTCTATCAATATCTTGACACCTTTTCAAGTCATACTACACATAGAGATAAAGCAGAGCTATTTCTACTCTATTGTTCCTTCCTCATGTTGAGTAGCAGGGAGCTTTATAATATGGTGGCCTAGTGGTAAGGAGCTGCACTGCAATCCCAAAGACACTAGGTTCAAATCCACCAGCTGTTCTGTGGGACAAAGGTGATCAGTCTCCTCCCATGCAATTTACTGCCTTTGAAAAACCAACTGGAGGATCAGCTATGGTTGGTTCCAACTCAATAGTACATGACAAAAAGAAGCATTCTAAGGAGACCTAGTGGTATCAATGGTTAAGTAGTCGGTTGGCCATCAAAATGTTGGTAGTTAGGACCCACCCAGTGGCTATATGGGAGAACAATGTGACAGTCTGCTTTTGTAAAGATTATAGCCTTGGAAACCATTTGGAACAATTAGACTCTGTCCTATATGTCATTATGGACTGGAATCTACTGGATGGACATGCTTTTTGGTTTGATTTTGTGTTTTGGCTAGCACTCTGTCTTCAAAGCAAGACAAAAGGAGTCCTCAGCTCTGGAGTCTTTTAAGTCTGAGATGCCCGATATGTTCCACCCCTCATACCTGGGAACCATCTATAGGGCAGTGTCAGAGTTCATTGATTTCTATTATCCTCTTTTTCCTTCCCCATTGAATTCTCACTTTTGGAAGCTGGATGATAAAGCACCAGCAAAAATTGGCTCTGACTATCCAGATTATATTTAAGAGTCTTGGGTTCTAGAAACAACAATACAATTTTTCTTGAACCATTATCTATTATTAACGATTGTCTCTGCTATGCGTTTCAAAACGTTTGTTTTAAACAGGGTAAGGCACTAATAAGGGATCTCTGGTGGCCTTGTGGCAAGAAACTGCACCCTAATCCTGAAGGCACACACTTCAAAAAGCCACTATGTGCTCTGCTCTCCTCCCATCTGATTAACTGCCTCTGAAAACCTGGCAGAAGGTCAGTTTTGGGTCGGTTCCCACTTCACAGTACACAACAACAACAAGGCATAAATGGATCTCCTCTTTCTCTCTGCATTCTTTCCAAATAAACCTTCTTTTGAGTCAATGGTATTACTGACAAAATGAGTAGCTGTGGTATATTCGCACAATGGAATACTATGCTGCATTGAAAACCAAGGAACTCACGCAATATTATTCAAAATGGGTGAACCTGGAGGACATTATGCTGAGTGAGGTATCTCAGTCACAAAGGGACAAATGCTATAAGGTGCCACTGTTGTAGAATGAGGCTGGCATTGGGGTGGGGGTAAGACTGAGAAAAACTGGATGAAATGTTTATGGCATTGAAGTCTATGGG